AGCTACAACCCCTTGATGTTTTTGTTACCTTTTGGTTCATACATATTATCTAGATACTAGATTGTTTTAGCCTAAACGTAACAAGTGAGGATGTCAATATTATTGAATTAACAAAATGTATTTTCTTTTACTACAATTATCACTAAATTTTGAAATTAAATATCAGCTCATCATCTTGATTAATGAATCATATGTGTACAATTTTTTTTATATTTAATGGTTCAAAGCCAGCACAAAAATTTTGGATAGCCGATAAAACAAATTACAATATAAAAGTATGCTGATCATATTGTATATAAAATAAATAAGTTATCTATAAATATAAAGATGATATTTGAAAAATTAATTTACGACTCAAATTAATACTTGTATTAATATTATTTTCAAAATAAATTCATGATTTCAGCTAAAAATGCAATTATCATATTATTTCTTAACTTAACTTTGATAGTTTTATTACTAAAAGAAATGTTGCATTTGTGACAGTAAAAACATTAAGAGACATAAAAAATGTGGAGCAAATCAAAATTTAATTTTTGATAGGTCTAGAAGCAACAAGCATGCACATAACTTTTAAATGATTAAATTATTTAAATTTGATACTTGACAAGCATAAAAAAATTGAATTTGAGATTATAAATTATTCTTCTCTTGATCATTCAAATTCATAGGATACTATTTATTTTTAACTTTAGATTAATCTTTAAAAGACAATGCACAAAGAGTTAACAAATTTTTTTTTCTTCACATTAAACATATCATTCATTTAAATTACAAGAGTGTGTAATTTATGGCTTAAAAAAAGGTATTTTTGAAAAAAATATTTTTCAAAATACTATAAATTTGTATTTTATAAATTAAAAGGAAAATTTGGACATACTATAATATAAATATACATTATCAAAGATTAAAACATAGTCAAAATCATAGTTTTTTCAACAAAAAAAATCATCTTAAAAATGATATTTATGAAAAACTATTTGAAATAGCTTTAAAATTAAGTGATTTTTTTAAATTTTGACATCCAAAAAAAAGTTTCGATAAAATGATAAAATATATAAATTAACAATTTTAAAATAATTATTCAGACTAAATTTATATTTGTAACTTTTATGAAAAGCTTCTTTCTAACAAAATTTTACACCAAAATATATTACACTATAAAAAAAATTTAAAACTAAAACAAACATGCCTTTATTAACCTATTATAATTTATAAATGGATTTTGAATTTTTTTTAAAATAACACTATTTTTCAATAAAATAACCAATTTAACATGGAATTCAAAAAAATTCTCAAACTGACCATATTTTCACATTGAAGCGCCATATAAAATGGTTGAACAAGATGGCTTTGACCTGAGTCGCCATCTCATATGGCGCCACCACTCAAAATCCTAAACCAAGGCATCATATGATATGGCGACACATCTACAAATCAAACCCTAGGTCTACAGAGGAGACGTCATACTATATGGCACCTCAGTACATCCCTTTTTTTTAATTATTTGTTTTGTGTTTTGTTTCATCATGCACTTGTAAAGGTATTCACGCCATATCATATGTGACTCGTACTATTTCATTTTTCTATAAATAAGACTGCACATTCATCTCTTTTTCACAACAACTTTCACCAATAGACTCAACTATTCATAATTTTTAAATCAGTCTAGAATGTCTGCATTTCTAAATCAACGTTCATTGTCATCGTCATCGTCATCGGAGGAACTGTTTCCAACATTTCCTCTAATGAAAAGAAATGCCCTAGTTTATTTTTCAACAACAAAGCCTCCGATGAAGGTGCTACTGTGGAACACGCAGACTTTGGAACATTTGCATAAGGAACTGAACCGCTGGCTACAAGAAGATATTGTTGTAGGTGAAAATATTAGGAAAATTGAGAGGTTAGTTGAGGAGTCAGGGAGAAACGAAGTTATTCGTTATCGGAGAAAAGTGGGAAATGGTGATGGAGTCCTTGTGATGATGTTAACACCAAAGAAGATTGATTACCTTGATGGTTGTGATATCCTAGACAAGTTGATGCATTGTGTTGTTTTATGTGGGTTTGTTGTTGTTATCTTCAGATTGTTATTTTGATATTAGGTTATGTTATTGTTATTTTCGGATTGCTGTTTTGATATTAAGTTATATTTGTTTAATTTATGTTGTTGTTAATTGTAATCTCTTAGCTATGCTATCAATGAAATGAAACTTATTATTGATTTAAAAGGACATTGTTACATTAGAAACTATGATCATGTGTTTGATCCTACATTGGGACATTTTGTACGATTGTGTCCTAGTTGCCAACACGAACTACATAATCTGACCATTTTGTTTGCTGCATCCATCTTTGTTTGAATGTGCGTGCTATTAGGGCGATCATTTTTCTTTCTTCGCATCAAATCATTATGCCAGACAATTTCTCCTTCATATGGAGGCCAATAGCCATCATTTGCCACCACTTGAAAGCTACATTTGTAGACATTGGATAGATTTATCACTTGGTAAGCAGCAAAAAGATAGTTGGTTGGATCCTGGCGCACCTTTGAGCATGTTGCTACAACATGGGAGCAAGGCATACGATAAATAACTACTCAAAAAGCATAAAAAGCATCTCAAAAAGCATCTCAACAACCAGCATCTCAATAAATAGCTACTCAACAAGCATCGCAACAATCAACTACTCAACAAGCATCTTAACAACTAGCTACTCAACAAGCTTCTCGAGAATCAACTATGGAAAGGGAAAAGAAGATAACTATTAAGAGGGTATCTCAACCAACTACTAAAACATCTCAACAATCAACTTATGGAAAAGGTAAATAAGCTACACGTTAGGATGACATTAATACCATTTGTACCACCAGGACCTACAACTATATTGGATGCATCCATAAGTGTAGTTGAGCCAACAATAAGAAGGACTACGCCAACAAAGAGAACCACGCCAAAGAATAAAATTTAGTTTGAGTTAAAATTGTTTGTCTGTTGTCTATTGAACTTAGTTTAAGTTATAATTTAATTTAAGTTTGAACTTGTGTCCTTATGTAATGTGTCTTGAACCTATGTTCTTATGCATAATATGTTATGTGTTTTGAACCTATGTTGTAATGCAGAATATTAGTAGTATACACCCTATATTAGTAATGTGTTTTGGTATAAATCAATAGTAGATTGTTTTCTCTAGTTTGGTATAATGTGTTTTGGTTTAAACCACAAATTGTTTTAATTTTATGTGTCAACTGATGTAAACCAAATAATTAGTCTCAACTGATAAAATGTGTTATAAACCAAACAATTAGTGTCAACTAGTATAATTTGTTATTCAACAAAATTTGAAACCATTCAAATTGATATAAATCATTCAATTTATAAAAATTAACTAATAAACTTATGCCATTCAAACTGATAACGACTGATACAAACATTATCTGGTTCAAATATTACAAGTTGATACAAATATATGCAACCTAACACAAAATGATTATCTGAAAACAATTACATGTTCTTACAACATCCTAAATATCAATACACAGAAAACAATACAAAACATAATCTTCCAAAAAAATCTCCAAATCACCATCTTTTTCATTTGAATTTGAAGTTCCATCAACTCTTTCTTTTGTTCCTCATTTGCAACCCTAAGATTTTCGACCTCCATTTTGCTGCATCAACTTCTTTTGCTAGCTTCTCCAACTTATATTTTTGCTTCATCATAAATTGGTCATTCTCATCTACCACATCCTTATAGAACCACTAAAAAATTTCACATCCAGCTTGCGTAGAACCATGTGTAAATTAAGAAAATAGTTTATATCATTTGACAATGCGAAGAACGGAAATTTCAAAATCTTTCTTACCTTAAAATTTCAACATCCCAAAATTGTTTTCCAAAATTCGTACGACTGATACCCTGTGAAGAACACTCATGTCTCCACAACGTCAAATGGGTTTTCATCGTATATTTGAACTTGTGTATACATTGGAATCAAAACCTCTAAAGCTCTTCTGTTTAGATTGGTTTGAACAATGCCCAAAATTCATTGTTGATGGAACCTTCGATTTCAATTAGTAATTCCAGTTGAGAATCAACCAATTCATAAACCCTAATTCGATTTGAGGAAAAAACAAACAAAAAAAAGGGACGAAGCTCAATATAAAAACAAAGAAGATGATTGTTAAGAGTCAACTCAGTTGTCACGCGGACATAAATAAATGTCGTTTGAGCAAAATAGACGGAAATAACTTTTATGGCGCTGTTTGAACACTTAAAGAATCAAATTGACCTCTTTTGAAATTAAGGGCCAAAATGAACCCAAAAATAAAGTTAAAGAAAGAAAAAAAAAGTATTTTATTTAAATCTTTTATAAGTTGCAAAAATAATTTCATAAATTTTTTACCTTTAATTAATTAAAAAAAACCTAAATTAATTCTAATTAAATACCAAAAACTTATTTAAATTATGTAGGTTTTGATTAAATATACCCACTTAAATTGATTAATAAAATTTAATGTATAAATCTTTAAATTTTTTAATTTCATAGTCAAATGACAATAATTACCAAAAACTCAAAACAACAACTTTAAACATAGAGTATTTGTCACTTAAACTATGGCTTAAAGGCTAAGCGTTTTGATTTACATCCAATAATTTTGAGATTAATCGAGTACAAGAATGAAATTTGAGATTTATGACTTCACATAGTTCTGGACTCCTGGTGGTCCTACCCTGCCGTGACCTATAGTACTCACTGCCACCATCATTCCACTCATCATTTTGCCAATATTCAATTCATCTATCTCCACTATTTGCAATTATAATAATACTACAAAACCTTTCGATATTTTCATTATAAAGTTCTTGACAACAACATTGTCTCGTCAGTTTCCTACTTTGTCCTCATCTTACATCTGTTACATCACTCTTCCAAACTCCTCTTTGTAGAATAACATTCAAGAGTCTTGTTCAAGGACTGTTTTTCTGTTGTGTTGCAAAAAATGTATAGAGAGAATGGCCTTCTTTTCCCATGGCCATATCAACACAATTTCTCTCAAGAGCTTCATCAACTTGAAGAGTATTGCAAAACACAGAAGCTCAATGCTTCAATGGTACCTTCTCATTTCTATATCTTTGTATTTTTTTTTATGGGTTTTTCTTTATATTCAATAAAGTTTGAAACTTTAGAGTTGGGTCTTGCTGTTTTGGAATTTTTAGTTACTTGTTTGATTGATTGATAATATAGAAACAGATGGGTTTGTGTTCATGTGTTAGATCTGAAGAAGCATGAGAGTTGGAAAGAAAAATGAGCATAAAAGGGAAATATTCCTTTCAATTGTTTATGAGTTTCTACTAGTTGAAGTGTGAATTGTTAGTGGGGTTGGTCTTTTTTTTGTGCTGCACTAAAGGAGATTAAAAGAGAAAAAGGCTTTTGATTCTCTTAACTTGTTTAAAATAGGGATAGAAAATAAAAAAGGGTTTGTTAATGCTTAGCTTAATCATTTCTATATGGTATTGTCGGCACTAAATATAGACAGTTGTAGAAAGGTTGTTTCTATTTTTGCTTTTGTTGGATTAAATTAATGATAAAAAGTGATTATTGGAAAATTGAAATGATGTTTTTGAGGCTAGGAATTTAGTGCCTTGACTGGTCCACCTTCTTATTTTGGTCATGGAAGAGTATCTACCTTGAGTGTGGGAATTTAGAATGATGCTTCTTGCAGCACAAACTTAAATTATTGACATGGTTAGAATTTTAAGCCTTTTCAGCTTAAGTGTTTTGTTATGTGTATATTTGTTCTTCAACAAGATGCTCATAAGCTACGTTGCTTTCTTCAATCAACCTGCTTTTATACCATTAGTCTTTGACACTTTTGGTTTTTTAGCATCAGAAGCAGTGAATCTTTTACATAGTGTGCAAAGGCTCTTGCATAGAAATGCTGTGTCTCCTAGGACAATGAATATATAGTTTTTAAGAGAATTCATTTATTATATATAAATGAATTCTCATGATTATATCTTGTAATTACTTTGTTTGTTTATGGATATGTCTTTAATGCAGAGTGACATTGTTCAGTTTTCTGCGATGTCCGAGTACGATTTTGCAGCTGAAGGAGATTTGTTCAAAGCACCTGAACCGATTATAGAAGAGTCTGAGATTGATCTGGATCCCATGACAGCAGCCATCTCAATGATATCTTGTGACGAAGATATAAAATCCACGGATATTTCTATTCTTCAAAACGAACAGCTTCTCAGTGATGTATTCTACGAATGCAAGAAGGATCTATTGGAAATGACAGCGATGGAATCACCACTTTCTGAGATTATGGAAATTAAAATTCCACTACTGAACATTGATGAGAATACAGTTCAAGAAAACAGGCCACTTCCTGATATGCCATTGTTACCGAAGAGCATCAGCTCGGGGAGTTTAAGTTCGATGGATTGGATGCATGGATCTGCAATGAAGCCTGCTTTGTTTGGTGTCTCGGGAATAGATTTTGATGCGGTTTATGGCATGCGGAGATCACTTAGTGAAGGAGATATAAAGGTATAATACTTTAACTGGTCTTATTATTGTGCTTATCATAAATTTAGACAAATCACCATGAAGTTAAGCAGCTTCTATTGAAGCTATATAGATAATAGATTGAGAAGCTTTGAAGGTCATGCTCCTTTGGTGAATAAACCTGCAAAAATATAGTGATTTTCTGTCTTTGTGGCAGACTCTTGGCAACGGTAATAATGTAAATGCGGTCCAATCTTCCCGAGAGAGGCCCTTTTCTTGCAACAGCGAGGAGCGCTTACAAAAGCTCTCCCGATACAGGAACAAGAAGACAAAGAGGAATTTCGGGAGGAAAATTAAGGTAAATTTTCTAATATGTGACATGAAAAGAGAAAACCTTGAACATTGTTTGGATGGTTAAATGTTTATGCAAATAAGTTATTTTTTATAGTATTAGTATTTGAGACTATAAGCAGATTTAGAACTTAAATGATTGTTTGTGTTGGTTTTCAGTATGCTTGTAGGAAGGCTCTAGCTGACACTCAACCAAGAATTCGTGGAAGATTTGCAAAGAATGAAGAGTGTGAGGCAAAGAGGGAATGATGTGATCAAGATATTGAATGAAGAGATGAGCATTATGTGTATAGACATGGTGGAGGAGTTGTATAAGTTGAACAAATAAAGTAGATGTCAAATTTATTAGGTAGTTCATATCTTCTAGGCCTAGATATGTAAATAGGTTTGTTGAATAAGAGATGGGGGCAAAAAGGTGCTCCCGTCCTATGTATATATATGATCAAAACGAATCAATGTGTGATAAATTACAATATCTATAAAAATGCTAGGTGGAGTATTGTTTAGTTCAGTGTGATAGTTTGATGAGGGTTTTAGGATAATTGTTGGTGTTTTATTGTTGGTATAATAGTGTTTATGTCATCATTCTTCTAATGTGAAGGGAAGTGGTGAGAAAATAAAATTTCCTTCCTCAAATCTCACTCTTCTTTCTGTGTGATTATGTATAATGGTTCATGTCATCAAGTACTCTTCCGAACTTATAATCGATGAAGAGAAACATTATTTATGTTCTTTGATAAATGATGTTTATCTAGGTACTTCTTCAATGTATTATGATTAAACACATTTACACAAATACTAAAGAAATGGAAACCCCTAATGCTTGGAAGGTTGTCATCACAACCTTTACTAATAGAGTTTTTGTTAAAGGTTTCCTCACCCTTCCTTTTTCATATTTGATGTTGTTTTTAGAGAAATGTGTTTCTTTCTTCCTTTTACTATATTCGAATAGAAAGTAATTTGTTATCTGGTGATGGTGCCCTTACAACTACACTCAAATTGTTGGGTCTTCGTTAGAGTGTTCTAATTAATTTGCTAATATTTGAGACGAGAAATTTCTCTCAAATTTTTCTTTAATATTTTTTGTTTTTGTTTTAAATGCACTTTTGATCCCTTAATTTGAATATCTTTAATTTTTAATTCTTTTATTTTAAAAATTAAAATTTTTTTGTCTCTTAACTTTACTACCCTTGAGATTTCTATGATCCCAACATGGAGATGTGACGCCCTTATTAATAATGCGGCACTCCTATAGTAACACCATATCAGCTTTTATGTCATTTTTAATTAAAATTAATTATTTTTTATTTTATAAATTATTACTAACTTTTTAAATTTCATTTTAATGTATTATTAGAGTAATTTAAATATGAAAACTATTGAAAACAAATATGAGAATTTCTTACCCCCACCCCTTGGGGTTTTATGCACTATGTGCGTTTCCAAAAATGCCCCCTGTTTTCGGATATGTATTTTCGGACGCACCTTTTTTCAATTTTTATTTTATTTTATTCCATAGATGCATCTACGGAAGACTTCCTTATTCATATTTACGGGAAAAGCCCATAAATAGAATACCATAAAATCAACATTGTAATATGATTTTACCAAATGATCAGAATCTGAGATAGCCCAAAGACAAGCGTCTGTGATGCTGGGTGTGAAGGAGGAGGAGGAGGTGTACCTGCAAGGCACTCCAATGCTAAAGTAAGAAAACAAGCAAAAGAACGAGCAAGTACATAATATGTGTGTTTCAGGGTGAATATTGGATACCTGACCCTCTCAAATGAGAGGGTTTTTATAATGCCCCCAGCGTTTGGTCAGCGGTTTCGCCTCGTCGGAGCTGCTGGGCAGAGGAGACTGGGCAGGAGTCTTCAGTCTGACGGCAATTGCATTCAGTCCCTTGGACGCTGCTTCAAAGCATCTCCTCGTGGCTCCTATGTCCCTGTGTAGAGTTGTAACGAGGCCTTTGGAGGTGTAATATTTCATCTTCAGGTGTACCGTTGAAGGTACGACCACCAGCTCGCCCAGAGTTGGTCGCCGGAAGATGCACTGGAATAATGACGGACAATCTATGACCAGGAATTATACCTTGATTGATCTGGTCGTTTCAGCAAATCCAAAGGTTACGATCAACTCAACGTAACCCCAGAACTTTATCACCGACCCATTAAAACCCCGTAGGTCAGTGTCCACGTAAGGAGTCAAATGTTATTCATCCAGCTGGAGCATGGAGAATAGTTGAGAATACATAATGTCAACGGAGCTGCCTTGGTCGACGAGGATTCGTCGAACATCAAAATTCGCCATTTGAGCCCTTACGAGCAAAGGGATGCTTGTGTTTGGGGTTCCGTTGAGGAGCTCCTCGCGGTAGAAGCAGATGAGGACAGACTCTCCCCGGACCCTGTCGAGGGTGGAGTTCCGGTTTGAGTTGTTGTTGATGAGGTGCTCAAATCTATTAAAACCTCTTCCGGAGATGACCATGGCGGAGGGGAATGTCTCCCACGGGCTGTGCGCGAAAAAATATGGAGGGGCGTTGAGACCCTCGGGAATGCATAAATCTTCAGGCCGTGAGACGCTCATAGTGACCTGAAGGCTGGCTTCCTCGGAGGAGGGTACTTCTTCTTCGACCTTCTGGGCTTCTTGAGTGTCTGGTCGAGGAGCTTCCTTTCACTTGGAGAACTACTTCAGATGCCCGTCCTTGATGAGTATTTCGATGACATCCTTCAAATGGATGCAGTCTTCCGTCGTATGGCCATGGCTCTTGTGGAACCGACAGTATTTAGACTTATTAGTGTTGGGTTTGGACGGTATCTGCTTTGGGAACCAGACTCCTACCTGTCAAAATTCTGAGTTGGCGCACTCAGTGAGGATCTTCTCCCTCGAAACTGCCAAGGGAGTGTATTCGGGGAATCTGTCGGAGGGTCCCTTGTTGTCTTGGGGCTCGTGGGGACGGTCTTCTATCTTTTATCCCCCCGACAGGATGTCGAGGGCTCGTCAGATCTGGAAGGACGGGCATTTTCCCTGTGCCTGGAATCACGGGCAGGGTTTGCTGGCTCTTTTTCCTCGTACTGAATGTATGTTTGAGCCTTGAGGAGGAAAGCATCCAGCGTTGTTGGGGTCCAGATGCCAACAACTTTAGCGAATTCTGTGCGGGGACAGAGCTTGCGTTCAAGCATAAATATTTTCACGTCATCGATGGTAGAGACTTGGACGGCCTCCTTGTTGAATCTTTCAATGTAGGCCCGCAAGGGTTCTTCTCTCCCATGAATGATGGCCTCGAGGGAGGCTTCAATCTTCGAATGTCGGCGAGAGGCCGTGAAATTTTTGGAAAAGAGTCTCCTCAATTGCCTCCATGAGGTGATGAAGTCGTCAGGAAGTCCTTTGTACCAGGTCATTGTCCCCTTCCTGAGTGTGGTCAGGAATAATCTGCACTTGATGGCGCCCCAGACACCGTGATAGTCGAGTAGCGCGTCGATGTTTTCGATGTGCTCGTCAGGGTCAGTTGTTCCGTCGTATGTGCCTAGAGAAGGAGGTTTCTCTAGTCCCTTTGGGAGGCGCATGTCCATGATCTTCTGGGACAACGGGCCGCGAGGCTCATCGTCGTTGATGCTGTTGGTCCAAGAAGGGGAGCGGGTGTCAGGTATATAGGTTGGACGGCGGTCTCGTCGGGGAAACGGGGTTCGTGCTCGTCCCTTGGCTTTGGGCGGAGACGAACATTGGGATTCTGCCTAGTGGCCTCTTCTTGTCCTTTTAGGTTGTGAGGAATGTTGGTTCCGGGGAGAAATCTGGTCGCTCTTACGGATGGTCAGGGTCTCTGGCTCTGGAGGCGTCTGACGATTCCTCTCGCATCAGGGAGGGAGACTTTATCGTTGCTGACGTGCTTTTCTCGGCGGAGAGGATCTTGGACGACATGACTCTTCCAATGCTCCAACCCTCGCGTTCTGGTTGAGGATTAGGAGGTTGGTTTTATTGAGAACCTCGAGGAGACCGCCATGGTCGGGTTGGCATTAGGCAGAACTGGAACTGGCAGGTATTGTGGGACAAGTGGGGCTTCGTCGTGATCTGTACAAACAAGGGATGGAGAAGTTGTGGCTCTGTCCCTTTGTTGGAGGACTTCGCCACCATGAGAGGTGGTGGCTCCATCAACATCAATCTTACAGACGGGGAGAAAAGTAGACTATAAGCATCAAGATTGTTGTCAGGCCATGATCAAAAATTTGAAGAATTGTTTTGGTCTTGTGTTCTACGAAGAGATAAAAGACGGGGATAACAAAATTCCCACAGACGGCGCCACTGATCTTACCAAATGATCAGAATCTGAGATGGGCCAAAGACAAGCGTCTGTGATGCTGGGTGTGAAGGAGAAGGAGGGGGTGTACCTGCAAGGCACTCCGATGTTAAAGTAAGAAAACGAGCAAGAGAGCGAGCAAGTACAGAATATGTGTGTTTCAGGGTGAATATTGGATACCTGACCCTCTCAAATGAGAGGGTTTTTATAATGCCTCCAACGCTTGGCCATTGGTCCTTATTTTCGGGGTGAGATAACCATTTCTCGAAGAATAGGTAACTGCCAGAACTAGTCATTAGAACGGGAAGACGTGCCCATAACTAGTCGTTGGCGCGGGCAGAGGCGTAGTTACGGGTACCAGCGTCTTGGTTGTTTCTGGATGGTGGAACCGTGCGTGACGGGAAGAGACTGACAAGGAGAAGTGTTGTGACCAAGGGTAAATAGATCAATCTCTCCTGTTGGAGGGGAAGAAAGGTAAACTTTCCACCAAAGAGGTTGAACTTAGGTAAATGGATCGTTTTGAGAGTAGAAGTGGGTTGGGTCATGCCTAGCCATTGGGCCAGTCCGGAACACAATAATAAAATCAACATTCATAAAACAAAATCGGCGTTACATTGATGATTTTGACAGAAATTTAAATATTACATTTCAATAGCCTCGTGGACGCCTGCACTTCTCTAAGATGTCATCGATCGTTCTTCGGACTGTCACCTCCAACTTGAGCGAAATCTTCTCTTCAAAACCGAAATACGTTCACCACATCGCTCTAACGTCCTCTTGATTCTTGAGCTTAAACTTGTTGTAAATAACGTTCTCGTCGTTGTCAACTAAAGGTGAACGATATTCAAGCTTCAAAATCTTTCGTTTGTTATTGTAAGGTAGTCGATATTGGATCTCGTCTATGATATCAGCGAGGGGTGAGATCCATGAGCTTGAACGTCCTTCTGGGTATTTTGCC